AGAAGCATTAATTTTAATTTTTTAAACTACCTTTTTAACTTTTATTTATATTTCTAATTTTTTTATTATTATAAAATCTTTTATAAAAAATTCCGTCTATTTGTCTTTGATCTTTAAGCTATACTATTATGTAATATTATTTCTTTATTCGTAATAAGTTTTGTATAAGAAACAAAATGTGTAATTTTAATTAGATGAATGATAACTATAAAGTATTATATAAGAATTTGATAATTATGGTTTTGTAATAAAGACCATTAAAACAAATGATTGAAGGTTTTAGAAATACATAGAAGTTACAAAGTCTATAGAAATGATATTATATAGTCTTTATTTAAAAATAAGTATCACAATATTGAACAAATTTATTTATCTTGTTTAGTATTTGATGCCACCAAACATCTCTTTCCATAAGATTTAAAGTTATAATGTATTTAAAATATTATGTTACTAGAAAGTCATGTTACACTTACAATATAAATAATAGTACTTAATTCTATGGATTTTATAGACTTCTTTCAAAATAAAGAAGATTGTCTTTGAAATCAAATTTTCTAAAACCATTATAATATTGATTCTTTTAATATCAAGACTAAGATGATTTTTAAAAAATTTTAAAAAGTTTAATTAGTAAAATTTTTACCATCAAAAGTTCTTATAATAATGTCTTAAAGATATAGCTTTTATAATTTTAAGTTATTATTCTATTAATAAAAAAATTCATGATACTTAGATTTTTTAATTATATTTTTAAAAATTAATCTTGATTTTTGAAAATTTCTTAGAATGACAAGAATATAATAAAATCTATCTATATTCAACTATCATAGAATTATATTTAATAGATAATTTGATACATTTATTTCAATTAAAAAACTAAAGAAAAATTTAGGCAACATAAAATAAAACTTGAAGTAAAATTTATTTTTAAAACTTCTCATGATCATTTTATTTATCTTGATTTTACAAAATAAAACCTTTAGAAGTTTATTTGAATGAAGATTTGGTTTTTCTTGAATAATTACAAAATAATATATTTTTTCTTTTACAATTTTCATAACCATCTTACCTCCAACAAATAAAGATTAAGATGGTTTCCTAGTATTTAGACTAAATTTTGTAAAGCCTTTTTTTAATCTCCAAAAAAAGTATCATAATTATATAATTTAAAATTTAAAAGTATATTATTAGTATATATTAAGAATATTAAATGATATTAAAGATAATAATAGATTCTTGATTTCTAAATGCTACTTTATAAGGCTTAGTTACTTCTATAAAATTTCTAATTGAAAGTGGTTGTATATTAATAACTTTATTTTTTTTAAAAAATTACATTTGAATTTTTGCTTTTTATCTTAAATCTATTATATTTGATGTTGCAATCATTTATCTCATGACTTAATTCTCTAAAATATAAATATATATTTACAAAAATAATTATTTTTTACATCTTTTATTGATTATTTGAATTGAATTGGATTGATCTATAAATATTTTTAGCTTAATGAATAGGTATATAAAGATTTAGAAGTTATTATCATAATGTGGATTTTTTTTCTTCAATTAAATTTTATACTTAACATCTTGTAAAGAATTGGTTGTTGTATAATATTGCTTAAGTAATGAAATATTCTAATAAATTTATAATATTATCTTAAAAATTATTTTAAAACTAATTTAAAAAAATAGATTTTTTAAAATTCATATCACAAGCAAGCTATTAGAATTTTGCAACACATACAGCAATTGAATGTGTTTTTTATTGCAAAAAATAAATTTTTATTTTGACTAGTCTTTTATAGTTTCTTTTCTATAATGTAGTTGTAAACACTTCTAAAAGTAAGTTTAAATCATAGAAAAGATTTAAATTTATTATTTTATTTTATTAATAGAAAAAATATTTTAAAATAGAAGTAAGTCTACAATCCTACTTAAGTGATATTATTAAGCTATCAAAAAAGATTTATTTATAAAAATAGCTAGTATTATTCTATTTTTTTAAAATTGACTTTGTTCAATTAAAATTTTTATAACAGACATCCAATAAGAAGATTTTAGAAATACTCTATTAATTTTTAGAAGATTTTAAATGATTCTATAAATATTTTAAAAATATTATAGTAGGTTCTAAAAAATTTTAGGAGGATTATGGAAGTTGTCCAAAAAGCTTTTTAAAGTTGCTTCATTTCATGCAACATGGAAACTTCTTGAGAAGCTTTCTAATACCTAGTATATATAAGTGTTGAGGTTGAAGAGATCCCTAATCTTGACAACACATCTTTTGGAGCTTTAGTTCACCTTTTTTGATGTTGATCTTGTAATTATTTAATGAAATCAAATTCTTGTTAGTTTTTTTGTTAAAATTCTTTCGTTCAACTTCTTGTTTGGTTTCATGTATAATATCTTTATGACAATTTGTCAAGACTACCTTCTTATCAATACAAGAGCTTGATCCTTCTTGATAGAGAGTAGATTATCCCTCTTCTTGAAGGCATCTAATTGCTTTAGAGGTTGTAGAATATCTTCCCTTAAATTGATATTATTAAGATTTTATTATTATTTATTATTTATTATTTTTAAAATAGTTGGAGATGATAATGTTAGCATGGTTGAGTCTCTTGAGTCTAAGTTAGATGTTATTATGAATACATTAAACACTTTAACTTGTAGAGGTGCTAAATTTATTGAAATTTGTTTTGCAAGGTTTCATGGTGATGTAAGACTTGAGCATGTCAACTTGTGATGCAACCACCTTTTCAAGCTTCTACATCTAAAGAGAGGATGGCACCTACACCTCAACAAGAAAATTCACCTATACAACAACATAAGTAGCCTTAAATTAGTGTTCTAAAAACATTTAATAATACATGCTTGAAATTTTGAGGATTTATTAATCAAATTTGATTGCAACTACTCTATAATATGAGTGCTATTTAACAAAAGAGTCACAAGTTAGTTTAGTTGGCACCTTGCTTACATGATAAGTCTTATCTTGGTTTGCTCTTTTATTTGAAGAGAGATTTCTAATCTTTACCAACTTTGAAGTTTTTTTAGAATTATTTGTAGATGCACTTGGAGAACATGATAAGGATCGATGGACAATGACAAAGATTTATTCATTATATTAAGGATCACACTCTGTATTAATTTATACATCTGATTTTAGGCAATTAGCCTATGACATCAATTAGGATGAAGAAGTTCTTATGAGGCAATTCTATTAGAGACTAAGAGATAATATAAAAGATCTATTATTATTATTACCTCATTTTCAAATACTCAATGCTATGGTTCAAACTTCTTATAACATAGGACAAAAAGTGCTGATTTTAATAAGGCCTATACTTATATTATGGTGAAGAAGGTCACAAATCTGAATTTTTTTTGAAGAAACAACATACAACTAGGACTAGGAGTGTAATCATTCAAGAAAATAAAGAAACTTATTACAATAGAGACCATGCAGCTGAACATTTCAATACCTCAAATTCATAATAGTTCTTCTCTCTCTGTCCAACCTTCTTATTTTTTTACAATACCTTTATTTCTTAGTCCACAAAAACTTCAAACAAATACCTTATTAGACTCAAAAACATCTGCTTACTTTTTAGATGAAGAGTTTTTAAAATTTTACAAAATTCTTCTATTGCAAAAGCCAAAACTTATATATATATAGAAATAATAAATGGTTTGAAATAAGATCGGTTTATCTCAAGTATCCAAGACCCTTCTAATCCACAGCAACATAAAACTTCATCACAAAGTAAGACAAACCGGACTAAAATAAAATTGAATAGAACTAAACAAAATAGAACATAGAAGACAAAATTGGGCAACTAAAATTAAGACAAAACATAATAAAACAGGAAGATATAAAAACCAATTGTATTAAGAGAAAGGATCCAAAGCTATATTTGACCAAATACTTCAAAAGGCCTTAGCCAATCCTATTCATGCTTTGTTCTAGTACCCTAGACTTTCTAAAATATTCTTATGTGGTAGATCCTACCTAGATAACCACCTTAAGTCTTTTGTAGAAGGTTCTATAGTGGGCTCCACTTAGATATCCATTCTAAGTTATTTTAAAAAGATTCCAAAGTAGGCCTTATTTAAATAACTGCCTTAAATTCTTTCTAGAATGTTTTACAATGGATCTTATCTGATCCACTAACTTAATTCTAAATTTAGAAATTTTCATAGTTTTAACTATCTATTCCTATACAAAATATCTTTCTTATACCATGTTACAATTAATCCCCTTCCATTAATGCAGAATGTCTTTGTTTTGCTTTCAATGGTATTTCCAAATTGTCTCTTAAGAATGGATGAGGTTTTGTGCAGGTTCTCATGTTGCATCGTGAATGGAATAACCTTTTTAAAGAACTTTGTATTGAAGTTGTGGACGTCCATTACTACAACAAAAGTAGCGATGCTGCAAAATGTTATCCATTTCATATTCTTGTTTGTCATCAACTACAATTAGTGGTGGTGGTGATTGATGTCAATCCAAAAAGCACTTTGGCTTGATAGGCAATTCTTTCAATTACAAAACATAGAAGATTAGATGGATCCAAATATATGGCAGAAGCTCAAGGTGATATGTGATATCAAAAATCACTATAGAAATGTAAAAAGGTCAAAGCGATCGAGGTGTTAGTTTATAGATTTAGATTAATGTAGCAAGTGGAAAGTTGGCATTGAAGAGTAATACCTAATCACCTTCCTCGAAGGTCTTGTGTTGTTGATTGTTAACTGCATACTGCTTCTGTCAATTTTATATGGTAAAGAGGCAGTGCCTACTTCTTTGACACTTCATAGAAATGAATTCATAGATTGTATGTTGCAGAAGACTGAGCACATCAACATCATGTAGGGATGGACAACGAGGACGAATTCATCCCAGAGCCGAGGAGGATGAGGGAGCTGCTGTATTGAAATGTGCTTTCGATCACAGAGAGCCGTCGATGCGGGGTCCCGATCCACATTCCTCGGGGAGAGAAGTTGTCGAGGGGGGATTCTGCTGCGGGATGGACTCTCTTGGTTTTTTCCGGGTTTTTGTTTTCGAGAGCTCCGCTTTCTTTGGGTGCTAGGGTTGGTGCTGTTCAGGTGCGGTGTGTTGTGGTGACGGCAGCGGCGTTGCTGCAATCTTAGTTTTGCTACGTCTCTCCTGTTGCCATTCCGGTGGTCAATGCTCCTAGTGTGGCGACGCTGGTTTTGCATTCTCTTCCTCGCAGTCGTGCAGTTGGAGCGAGATCTGGCTTTTTGCTCGCGTTACTGTTCCCGTGGAGGGGGGCTGGTCGTCATTTAGGGCGCTTCTGCAACGCCGTTCCTGGCTGTTCTACCTTTTTTGTTGTCTGTGGCGATCCTGCTTCGGAGTGTGCTGCGATCAAGGCTGGTGGCTGCGGAAGCTCCTGTTGTCAACGTGATCTGGTTTCCGTACTTCTTCCGTTGGTCTATGGTTAGAGGGCGAGCGATACGGGTGTTCATGCTAAGGTGGTAGTTTTCGACGGCGCCTTGTTGCTCTATTGTTGTTATTGCGCCGCCGCCTACCACTGGAGTGTCGACGGGTTCCCTTTTGGGGTATTTGTTTTTTCTCCCTTTTTCCAGCTTCTGATTCGAATCGTGTTGCTGTTTGATGTAGTCGTGCATCGAGCTGGTGCTCGGCCCATGTTCTTCTTCATAGTGTGTGAAGGGGCGTTGGATGGTGCTGGTTGCACTGTGGTGGAAGCATCAAGTGTTCGACGGTGTCTCATGATTCTGTTCCGTTTAGTGCTCTCTGGTGGCGCTTCTTTTTTCGGGTGGGTGGTCCAGTGGTATTGAGGATTGTCGACGCTTTCTTGTTGCTGGCCTCGTCGTTTTCGCCTGGTGATTCTTCGGTTCTGTTCTCCATCATCTTGTTGTACGCCAAGGTTGTTTGATGCCACTGTTGCGGTTGTGGCTGCAAATTCTACTGCTTCACCGACTGTACTCCTTGAAGTCATGGCTGCTGCTGCAAGTTCTTGAAGAGAGTAGTGGACGTTTAGGTCGTGGTTGGTAGCTGTTGGAGAACTTGCGGTATTTGCTATCCGCCGACCCGCGTTTTTGTCGCCGTGGATGCTGGAGGATTAAGTCTTGCGGTGCAGTGCCGTCAATTTTGGCTGGTGGTCGACTTAATCCGGCTCTTGTTGCTGTGCTCGTTCGTCTCCGACTGGTTTTGGGCTCCGGTGTTGTTCGACTATCGCTGAGTTTCCAATCATCGTCGTCGCCTTTAGTCGGCACTGTCGGTGGACTGGCGGGGTTGGCAGGTATTGTAGAATGGGAGAAATGATGTTGTGCAACTAGTAGGCGGACGCGAGTTCGCTGGTGATGTGGGTCTTGATAGCAGATATCGATGCTTAAATTTGGAGATGTGACTGTGTCAGCGAAAAGTTGAGCAAGTAACTTGACGGTTAGGATCCCTACCGACAATTGCAGAGAGGCAACGTTGTTCAGAATTCAGTGTTGCAAGGGTGTTCGAAATGTAGTACCGATTTGTTAGTGCTGATGAGGTAAGGTGGTTGTTCATTAAAACACAAAATTGTGGTGTATGGAAGGTCCTCGTGAGGCAGGCATTGAAGTTGACAGCGTAGTGAAAAATTTATGTAAGCAGCTTGGTTGTCGATAGAACCGTCGGCTTCGCTGAAGAATATCATGTGAGCAGGTAGCATCTGGAGTTCGGATAGCTTCCTGTGATACTCTTGGACTCGGAACAATTGTGATACGATTATCATCCGGCAGCCCTCTTTTCCATATCCCGAGTTTCTGTTGCAAGTCATCTTCGCCTACCCAGTTTCATTTCTGTGAAGGGTTCTGAAGATCGAAGGACTTTGAGGCGCCAGTGGGTCGGCGAGCAATTCCATTTCTTCTTGCACAACTGCTATCGCAGCTACTCCAGGCTCGTTTTCGACATCTTCCACATTGCGGTGAGACTTCCAGATTGGATGAATTGTTGGATTGGACGACTAATTGAGTTGGATAAAGTTAGGTTAGGAATTTGATCTAGCCATGTGGATGAACAACTTGAATGAATACTCAGGTATGGGTGAATTCTTATTGTTAGATGACATCTCATTTATGGATGAAGTTTTGTATAAAGAGGAATACTTGTCAATGGATGAGAATATCTAAATTGAGTGATGATGGAGGAATGATTTTTTATTTATTTATTTTGGTTGCTTGCAATAATTGCAATTCATTGGATATTAAAATTTGGTGAATTATTGCATGGTTGAATAAGCTACCATTAGGGTGGTAATATTTATCTTGCAAGAATCTAATCTAGTTTTTCATAAGTCAAATACTAATATTTGATGTGTGCATTTTCTCATAAGTTAAATATTAATATTTGATGCTTGTATCTTCTATAGGTGACAAGGCCATTTTCTAGTACTAAATTTGAACATCCTAAAGCACTGTTTTCCAATTCTTCTTTGAATTATGGCTAGGTTGGATCCTACAACTCATATTTCAGAATCAATGTTGCCAAATGTTGATGGTGTGGGTAATGCTCTTCCCACTACAAAATCAATATGTCTTGAGTTCAAAATGGTTTTGATACCTTGGTTGCATTATTGTGCTTCTTTTATAATATAGGTAGTGTATTTCCCTATAGGCATGTTTTTGGTTTTTTCTAGTTGTAAGTAATGTTGTGCTAGTCTTTACAATGTCTTTTTGATTGTATTGACAACCATATAATTTAATATTGGTCCATGGTTGTGAAATACATGTAGATCATACTCTTGGTGGAGTTGTATCAAGCAAATATTCAGAGTTGCAATTGTATTTAAAAATTGCAATGAAATCCATGGAAAAAGTGAAGGAGTCAACTTTTCAAAGAGAGGCAACAAATTTGCCAAAGTTCAACAAAGAGGAATGTGAATATTTAGCTTGTAAACTCAAGCTCACCATTGAGAGTGCTAGTTCATTCTTTCTTGCCATATGCCATTGAAAAGACATTCCTGAAGAAGCTTTGGCAAGTTGTGTAGGTAATTTCAAGCTATTTGCTGCAAAGGCAAAAGAAATTGAAAGTTTCATCCAAGATTGTTGCAATGATGCATGGATCGAGGTTGCCATCATATTGACAAAAGTGCAAGAGCGAGTTTCATCATTAGGCTTTAATTTGGAATTATGTAGACTTATATTTGTTGACTATGAGTTTAGAGAACCACTAAGCAAAACTTGGACAGAACTTGTTGAAAAAATTGAAGAGATCAATAGCATTGAAACCAGGATTGTGCAAGAGAAAGCATTTCAAGATGAAGAGGTGTTGTTAAAGAAAGTGGATTTGGAATTGAAATCATTGAATGGTGAGGAGAAGGAGTTAGCTTACATTTTGCTTGAAAGACTTAAAAGCACATGAATTGCATCTTCACGAAATTCATTGAAGGGAGAATTGGAGAAGGTGAAGCAACGCAACCAAATAAGAAAAGGTGCATCTGCAACTGTATTTAAAGTTAATTGGTTAGAGATGGAAGTTGCAAAAAAGGTGTTTTATGGATCAAACAATAAACATTTTGAACAAGGAGTGTCAATTATATTGGGGGTGTTTCATGCAAATATTATGTCCATACTTCACTATACTTCAAGCAAGCATCAGTGCTCTATTTTCATGGAGTTGATGGATGGAGATCTTACTTCTCTAATATGGCATAGATTGGAAACTCTTCATCTAAATATACCATTTTCCAATATAGTAGTTGTTGACATTATTCTTCAAATTGCAGAAGGTATGGTTTGTCTTCACTCAAAAGATATTGTGCACAGGGACTTGAAACCAGACAATGTTTTGGTGAAGATAACAAATATGGAAACTGGTCATGTACATGCCAAATTGGCAGATTTTGGAATGTCCAAAATCAAGAAAAGTAGTTGTTCTACTCAAACACTCAATATAGGTACTACTAGATACATGGCTCCAGAAGTGATTAAAATCTATGAGAAAGGAAGTGAAAACCATATGCTTACAAGTGCAAACAAACGAAAGTATCCACCAAAAAGTGATGTGTATAGTTTTGGTATGGTGTGTTATCAAATACTAACTGGAAAAATCCCTTTCTTTGATCTATCTAATAGTGAAGCCAAGAAAAAGATAAAGAGTGGGGAGTGCCCATCTCTACCTCATCATTGTCCACCAATTTTGAAGAATTTGATAGAAGACTGTTGGAAATTTAATCCCAAAGATCGTCCAACCTTTATAGAGATATGCAAGGATTTAAGGTGTATAAAGTATTTATTGATGACATCATGTTCAAGCTTGATAATATTGCCAAATAAATCAATTAATTTTCTATCTTATACAACCTTGAGAATAAGTGAATCTTCAAGTTTGATATCATTGTTAAATAAATTGGACAATTATTCATCTTTGACTTCTTGTGAAATAGTTAAGTGCTCAAAGTTGACATCATTGCCAAATGAATTGTATAACCTCACATCTTTGATTTCCTTAAATTTAAGTGAATGTTGGGAGTTGACATCATTGCCAAATGAATTGGGCAACCTCACATCTTTGACTTCCATAAATTTAAGTGGGTGCTTGAACTTGACATCATTGCCAGATGAATTGGGCAACCTTTCATCTTTGACTTCCTTAAATTTAAGTGAGTGTTGGAAGTTGACATTATTGCCAAATGAATTGGGTTACCTCACATCTTTGACTTCGTTAGATTTAAGTGGGTGCTCATGGTTGATATTATTACCAAATGAATTGGGCTACCTCACATCATTAACTACTTTAGATGTGAGTAAGTGCCAAAGCTTGGTATCATTGCCAAATGAATTGGGCAATCTCACATCTTTGAATTCCTTAAATTTGAGTGCATGCTTAAACTTGACATCATTGCCAAATGAATTGGGCAACCTTTCATCTTTGACTTCCTTAAAATTAAGTGAGTGTGAGAAGTTGAGATTATTGCCGAATGAATTGGGTTACCTCACATCTTTGACTTCGTTAAATTTGAGTGCGTGCTCAAACTTGACATCATTGCCAAATGAATTGGGCAAACTCACATCATTAACTGCTTTAGATGTGAATAAGTACGAAAGCTTGGCATCATTGCCAAATGAATTGGGCAACCTCACATCTTTGATTTTCTTAAATTTATATGAATGTTGGGAGTTGACATCATTGCCAAATGAATTGTGTAACCTCTTATCTTTGATTTCCTTAAATTTGAGTGAATGTTGGAAGTTGACATCATTGCCAAATGAATTAGGCAACCTCACATCTTTAACTTCCATAAATTTAAGTGGGTGCTTGAACTTGACATCATTGCCAGATGAATTGGGTAACCTTTCATCATTGACTTCCTTAAATTTAAGTGAGTGTTGGAAGTTGACATTATTGCCAAATGAATTGGGTTACCTCACATCTTTGACTTTGTTAGATTTAAGTCGATGCTCATGCTTGATATTATTACCAAATGAAATGGGCTACCTCACATCATTAACTACTTTAGATGTGAGTAAGTGCCAAAGCTTGGCGACATTGCCAAATGAATTAGGCAACCTCACATCTTTGACTTCCTAAATTTAGATGAATGCTTGAACTTGACATCATTGCCAAATGAATTGGGCAACCTTTCATCTTTGACTTCCTTAAATTTAAGTGAGTGTGAGAAGTTGAGATTATTGCCAAATGAATTGGGTTACCTCACATCTATGACTTCGTTAAATTTGAGTGCGTGCTCAAACTTGACATCATTGCCAAATGAATTGGGCAAACTCACATCATTAACTGCTTTAGATGTGAGTAAGTGCGAAAGCTTGGCATCATTGCCAAATGAATTGGGCAACTTCACATCTTTGACCTATCTAAATTTAGATGGATGCTTGAACTTGAAATCATTGCCAAATGAATTGGACAATCTTACATCATTGACTTTCTTAAAGTTATGTGAGGGCTCAAGATTGACATCATTGCCAAATGAATTGGACAACCTCACATCTTTGACTTCCTTAAATCTAAGTGAATGTTAGAAGTTGACATCATTGCCAATTGAATTGGACAACCTCACATCTTTGACTTCTTTAAATATAAGTGGATGCTCAAACTTGACATCATTGCCAAATGTATTGAGCAACCTCACATCTTTGACTTCCTTAAGTTTAAGTGAATGTTGGAACTTGACATCATTGCCAAATGAGTTGGGCAACCTCACATCTTTAATTTTTTTAAATTTAAGTTGGTGTATGAACTTGACATCATTGTCAAATGAATTGGACAACTTCTCATCTTTGACTTGCTTGAGTTTAAGTTGATATTCGAACTTGACATCACTGCCAAATGAATTAGGCAACCTCACATCTTTGACTTCCTTAAATTTAAGTGAGTGATGCAAGTTGACTTCATTGCCAAATGACTTGGATAACCTCACATCTTTGACTTTTTTAGATGTGGGAAGTTGAAATCATTGCCAAATGAATTGGATAATTTTATATTTTTGAAAGTCATTGATGAAAAGAGTTAGATATCATTATCTAAAGCAATAATCAATGATTACTTAAGAATATATTTGTAAAAAAGTTTTTAAATTAATCAATTATAAACTTATTTGTTAATAAGAAATATAAAATTAAGCCTAGATAGGATATTTTGAACATACAATAGCACAAAAAAAAAAATAATAATAATTCTAGGAAGATAGAATTTAAATTTAGAATTTAGAATTTGGAGGATGAGATTTATATATTCTCTAATAAATTAATAGAATTTTTAAAGTTCTTAATAAAATTTAAAAATGATCAAAGTTAGAGAATGGGAGATAATAATTTTAATCTACTAAAACATTGGATGTTCTCTCTTTCTAATATTAATGCAAAACTTCAAGCTTTAGTATCTTTCTCTTAAATTGAAATTTTTTTTTCAAATGTTTCAAGAATATTAAAACATTACTCGACCATAAATACAAATAATATTATTCTACTCTAACCAAAAAAAATTCTTAGAACCAAAAGATTTAATTTTTGAGATCCTAATTTTTTTAAATCTTAATTAATTTTTTATTATATCATCTAATTGTGTTCAAATTAACAATACACATACACCACATATGTCTTCACAAATCCACAAAATTTTATTTATGAATTTGTTATAAAACTTATACACTTCATCAAAATAATTTTTTTTTATGTAATACAAAGAAGAGTCAGTCAAGAAAACTTAAATTATATAATAATATCACAAAGTCAATAAGCACTTAATTCCTCAAAACTAATGCTAAAATAAACTTTTTAAAGATTTTTATTAGATAGTGCTTTCAATCAACAAACAAATCCCACATTTGTTGGTATATGGTTTTATGCCTCAAGGACTAATTTTCACCTTGGTTCATTATCAGTTTTCTTTGAGCATCAATCTAAGACTTTTTTGATAATTTTTATTAAAAATTACTCTTTATTTTTACCTTAAGATACCTATAATATTATTTTTGTTAAATTAGTTTATTTTGAGTTATTTTTTATCCTATAATGTAAGTAGAAGATATTTTTTAAAAAAGAAGCATCAACTCTAAATTATTTTATTACCTTTTAATTTTTATTTATATTTTTAATATAATTTTTTATTATAAGATCTTATATAATAAAATTCTTCTATTTGTCTTTTACTTTTAAGCCATACCACAACATAACATTGTTTCTTTAATTGTAATAAGTTTTGTATAATTTTAAATAGATAATTGACTATCACAAAGTAAGATGTAAGAATTCGATAATTAAAAATTTGTAATGAAGTCCATTAAAAAAATGATTGAAGGTTTTCAAAAATACATAGAAGTTGTAAAGTCCATAGAAATGATATTATAGAGTCTTGATTCAAAAATAAATATCACAATATTAAAAAAATTTATTTATTTTATTTTATATTTGATGCTACCAAATATTTTTATAAATAGGATTTTAAATTAAATTATATTTAAAATATTACTTTGCTAGAAAGTCATGTTATACTTACAATGCACATAATAGTACTTAATCCTTTGGATTATATAGTCTTCTTTCAAAATAAAGAATTGTCTTTAAAATCAAATTTTTTAGAATTATTATAATGCTATTTTTTTAATATAAATAAAATAAAATAAAAAAAATTCGGAAAATTTAATTAGTAAAAGTTGTAAATATAAAATTCTTATAATAATGGCTTAAAGATTAGCTACTTTGATTTAATGGTCATCATATACAACATCTTCTTTTTTTTAATGCAAGATAAGAATATCTTGATAAAGAATTTAAAAAGCTTTATTTTTTTTAAAGAAAATACAAATAATTTAAATATAAATCATAACAAAGACATACTCCAACAACCTTGATAATTAATAATTTTTAAAATAATAAACTTGATTGTTTTAAATCATGTCACAAGCAAGCTATAAGAGTTTTGCAATACATATTGCAATTGAATGTGCTTTCTAATGAGAAGACTAGAGTTTTTTTTTACTAGTCTTTTGTAGTTTCTCTTTATTAATGTAATGGCAAATACCTCCAAAAAATATTTTGAATCATAAAAAAGACTTAAATATATATTTTTTTATTTATTTAAGATACAAAGTAAGAAAGAATACTTTTAAATAGAATTGAGTCTATAAATCTATTTAAGTAAATTCATCAAGCTATTAAGAAGGATTTATTTGCAAAAATATTACTCAAAAGACAAGTATCAATAGCCACATGGTACAATTATTGGAATCTAAATTTCAAATCTCTATTTCAAAAAATTCTTCAAAGTTTTTCAAAGAAGATATTCTCTATCCAACATATTTTACCTACTTCTACTTACTTCTATTTACTTAAGTAATATAGAAATTCATTTTAATCTCTAACTTAAGAATACTCAATACGACTTGATTATTAATACAACAATATTTTGATATTAATTATAAGAGTTGATCAATAAAGATCTTATGTCAATGCAAAATAGGTTGCAAAATTATAATCTTGATGCACCATTTTCTAATTTTGTAGCCATTGACATCATTCTTCAACTTCCAAAAGATATGCTTTGTCTTCACTCAAAGGATATTGTGCACAATGACTTAAAACTAGACAATGTTTTGGTGAAGTTAAAAAATATAGAAAATAGATATGTACATATGAAATTGATAGATTTTAAAATATCTAAAACTAAAAAAAATAGTTGTTTACTCAAACATTTAATATAGGTACTTTTAGATATATGGCTCAAAAAGTGATTAAAATCCATGTACTAGAAAGTCAGAACCATGTGCATGCAAGTGCAAAGACACAAAAGTATCTACCAAAAAGTGACACATACATTTAGTATGGTGTATTATAAAATATTAATTAAAAAATTCCTTTTAAAAAAATTAAATCTAAACAAAACAAAGAAAAAGATAATGAGTGGTGATTACCCACCTCTACTTAATCATTGTCCATCACTTTTGGAGATTTTGATAGAAGATTGTTGGAAATTTAATCTCAAATATTGTCCAATGTTTTTGGAGATTTTCAAAGTATTTAGGAATACAAAATACTTATTTATGACATCATGATCAAGTTTGATAATATTACCAAATGAATCAATGAATCTCACATCTTTCACTACCTCAAGAATTAATGAGTCCTAAAGCTTGACATCAATAATAATATTACAAATTTTAATTCAATGTAGTATTCCAAATCAAAACTGAAGACATCAATTAAATTCCAATAATAATTAATATTTTAATTTTATAATATTATTAACATAAATATTGATGTAGAGAGAATTAATATATTCTAAATGATAGCATGTGTCAAATTTATCGACATACATTTTCATGTTGTAATACGACTTATTGGTGAAAATATAAATAAAAAATATTTTATTAATATTTAGTCACCTTTGTTGATAAGAGCTCAAGATAATTTAGGAAGGCTCTATAAAAGCTTTTAGGATATTTTCTTGTCTTGATAGATAGTAGATAAAAGCTTGTCATTAAATTTTCTTTCTAGATTGTAGAAACGATTTTACCACTTTAGAAAGGCTATAAATTAGTAAAAATAACATACATGAAGTAAAAAAATGATATGGTAGATAATAAGATGAAGTTGAGGATAGGGAAGTGCTGAAAAATCTCTGGGATAAGTAGGATTGATATCCGGAGATGACCGTTTGTAGGTCGGGGTCAAAATCAGACCTCTAGCCACTAAAACGGCCGCCTAAGGCAAAATATGGAGGCATTCAGAGATTGGGATTTGGGGTCGGAGAGTTAGCTTCAAGCTCCTTCCAAAGGTATAAGATTTAGTTTCATAGGTTTGAAAGGACTTTGTAATCACTGTTCAAAGTTAGTGTTTGTATTGGTGATTTGGATTTTTTGCAATAAAATTGGGGCTAGTACTCTTGACTGTTTTGTGAAATTAGAGAAATATTTACAGTTGAAATTTTAGAGGTATCTAGATGGTTGAGTATACCAAGTGTATGCAAAGTTTTGAGTTAATCCAATGATTTGGATATTATGAAGGTAAAAAAATTGACATTAGAGCTGAACAAGGTTGAATTATTTCTTCAAGCTTGTGATAGAGAATTACAAGGAAAATTAGAGTTGCTTCTTGAAGACAAAGAAGAAGATGAAGGATTGACAACAAAGTGGAAATTTTTTGAAAATACAGTGGGTTTGCTTGTAAAAAGAGAAAGGAGGAAGGATAAGAGTAATATTCCAAAAGCAGTACAAGCAACTAAAATTCCAGTACATACAACACGACCAACAATGCCTATTGTTCAACCTTCAACACCTTTATCAAAGAAAAGAGATATGGGTATTGAAAAAATTATATGTTATAATATGTGAAGTCTTGCTTCAGAATACTCTAAGAACCTAGCTATAGAAGGAAGAATGGAAATTACAACAACAAAATCTTGATTCTAATAGAATACTAATCAAACTCAAATTAGATCATAATAATGCTAAGCAAGCTTTAATCAAATTCAAAAAAAACTCAAGAAATTTCAAATAAACAATAAGAATTCTTAAAGAAATATTAGAAGGATCACAAATATCACTCAAATACATCTCAATTCAATCTTAATTTAATCCTAGTTAAAATCCTATTGAACTTTAGGCAAAACCTAATTAAATCTTAAATCCTAATAAAATACTAAATC